CGTCAAGACTCCCCGTTTTGCAAATTTAGGACAAATTTGACAGGTGACCTTTGTTTTATAAGGAAGTCCATATAACCGTCTAGACCGACATTCGAATCGATCGCGAAGCTCGAAGTCTGTATGACTGTTTTGTGAATGTTTATACTTTGATCTGTTGAGACCGGCTTGGTCTCGTGTCAAACGGGTTGAAATATTACAACGTTGGCAGTAATATTGGAATATATAAGAATATTAACTCAACTGCACCTGTGAAAATCACTGTCAAACAACTCGAATGAACGTCCGAAAACGTAAACTTCGTCCGCAAAGCAATTCATCCCTAAAGGAGTTCAACCATTTATAAGGAGATTTACCGACACGTACACACAGTTCAACCACTCTACAAAGGAGTCAACGTACACAAACCTGCGTAACACAAAAATATAAACGAAGCATAAACATTACATATTCACACAAACCCCGGCAACGTGTCTAAAGTACGTTCACTATGCATTTTATATGGTTAACTAAACTAAACGTACATGCTATCAAACCTATATAAACTCCTATAACCCAACGGTATTCGAGTGTAGAGAAGACGTAGCACCGGACACTAGACAGAACGAGACTAGGACGTCCTACTTGTGTTAGGTGTCAATATCTAATGTTCATTTATTCAACAACAAGAAACTCAATCAGTCCGAAGTCTCAGGAGATGACTAGATTACGAAATGTAGTTTACGTATAGAAGACGACGTTTGTGATCTGACTGACTGCCGGGTTGTCCGAGAGTCCAGGACGTAGCTCTCTGGTATAGGTCCTTCGTTTGTGCATTATCATTTTTTGTTTTGTCTGATGAAAAATTTACATTTTTAGCGCGTAGACAGGACAATTACTCAACCGTGGACTGACTGTACACCCGAAAACAGTCAGAGCATAATATACCGAACTATTACTTACTTTCATTTCTTTGTATATCTACTATTGTTTTCCCTTTGATGCCTAATTTGCCATGTAGTCGAACTACAAACACCGATTCGTCCGATGCGGACCTTCACCTTGACCTCCTAAGGGTCACTCTCTTGTCGTAGGTGGAGGAGCACACATTTGTTATTGACCGACTTGGTCCGTCTCTTGACCTTCACTTGCGGGACTGACTGGACTCTCAGGAGCGTCAGACGCAGACCTGAGAGGCTTCTAGAAGGAGTCATCGTCCGAAGAGAGGACTTATGGAAGTCGAACAATAATGCATGTCCAGTTCTAGAAGAGTCTACCCTCCACCAATCCTGAAGTCTCCGACTCCGGTTCCGTCGTGTCGACTTGAGAGACTCGTTTGACCCCGTCGGGCTCGTCACGACTTATTCTGTTTAACCAGCAAATTTGGAAGTTAGTAGTCAGTCAGTGAGTAGTTGTAGCTAGCTAGTAGTGTAGTTAACAAATAAATTATATATGACGGAGTTATAGTCGTTTACAATGTAAACAGTAGTCACCTGGGAAGTCGTCAAACAGTGCTTATAGCCATACTGTGCTGCTGTCGGGAGACAGGTAACTGCCGGAGTGTAGCATGTTCCTTTGGAGGTCTCTTGTGCGCGTGTCAATTTCCCTTTACCCTCTTGAGTCCCTCTCGTTGTCTCCTCCCTAGGGAGAGGTCACTTTTTGACCCTGGTCTTGCCCCGTTATCTACGGACACATGAGAGTCGGTCATATTCGAGAAAAATCGAGAGTATGGTTACAACCTTCTTCGTTTATGACTTATATAAAGAACAACAAAAACGAAACCTTTATGAATAAGTAAAATGATTAAACAAGGGCGAGTAGTATTACATAATTTTATTTTCAACTACCTCCAAGTCACACTTAATCGTCCCATATTAAGAATAAGATTTAAATGTCAAATTTCGAACTATAGAGCGAGACGGTCCGTCAGTCACTTAATTATGCGTCCCTTTTTTTTTTTTTTTTTTTGTCTTCTTCTTTCTCTGAAAACGTAAATTCTATGAGTACTCCTAGTCCCATTATAAGTCGGACTACAGACGTCGAGTCTCAGTTGTGTTGATGAAGTGTAAATGTAGAGTCTGTCTTCATTTCTACCTCTTGACTGGCGCTTCTCTGAGTCAAACGTCAGAAACCTGAGAGATCTTCTGGTGACGTCCTCGTCGAAGTGAGGAGTTTAGGAAGTCAGACTACAACGAGTGAGTCGGTCAGGTCGAGAGAGTCTACCCCCCAAAACTGAAGTCTCGACTCCAGTCTCGTCGTGTCCGACTGAGAGGCACTTTTAGACCGTCCGGTGAGTCCTGGGACTATTTCTTGTGTACCAAATCCCTACCTCGCCGAGCCGGCGCCTCCGGTCTGCTGACTAGTCTTAGTCCTTAATTCGAGGTCATTTGGTTCGTACATTCGCGAAAGCAAGAGAGGGGGAACCGTCTCCAAGACCCAGGTCCCCCCCCCCCACCCTCCTGTGGTGCGGCGCCACACAAGAAAACTCCCCCACAAGAACAAACAGCTTATTTTTGGGACTTGATAAGTGCGACTGAGAAAGAGGAAGACAGTAAAAATTCGGACCCTCGCTCGCCTCCAATTAGTGTTATAGTTTCGTCTTTCGTCGTCCTTTTACCATTGTATTTGACTAAACAACACCATTCGATCCGTGCGGACCTTCCACTTGACCTCTCTAACGAGTCACACTCTTTGGTAGGTGGAGGTGACACAAATTATGTTAGGACGACTCGGACGTCTCTCAGCTGGGGAATGACTGACTCTCACGAGGTCAGACCCGTCAAGACCTGGAGGTCTTCTTAGAGAGTCACGTCGAGGTGAGGATTTTAGTAGGGTCCGACAACAATGGTCGAGTCAGAGAGTCTACCCTCCCACCTGAAGTCTCGTCTCCGTCTCTTCCGTGTCGACAAGAGGACGTTTGACCCGTCCCGGACTTCAGATTTTATTCTTTTATACTACAAATCTTTTTGTTACAAGGCCCGAATTTTATACTTTTAACATTATTAGCCAAACTACTCGACCCTCTTCATCTCTTACAGTGTTCATATTTCACTCGTAGGGCTGTTCAATTTTTGTCATTCTATGTCTCTCCCTTTTCTCGAGAGTTAATAAATTTTCTGTTGCACGAAGTGGAAGTTATGTTTCACCACTGAAGTGTAGACTTTGAGACGTAGGGTAGATGTGGTTTGAGTACTACACGTCGGTTCTGTTATTTTTGGGTATAGAGTTGGTTCTAGAGTTGCAAATGTTACTGTGATAAACAAGTCCTCTTAAAATTCTTTACCTAGATTTATGTGAAAAAAAAAAAAAAAAAATTTATGAGTCTATAACATAAAATCCTTATCAGCCTTCAGTAGTTTGTGTCATAGACAGTCAAATTGCGATAAGTACAGTCATACTTGTAGTACATCGAAATATGTTTACAATTCTTTTTCTTTTTGGACTACATAAGGACAAACACAAACTATTAATATTAGTCTTTAATAAATAAGACATCAAACTACATAAATTATCTAACAATTTTCGTAATACCTGCTTATATTCCTATGTAAAGTCCACCAATTGGTCAAATCTCTGACTCGGACAAAAAGTCCAAAGCCGAGCTTTACTGGTAAGGGTCTGTTTACTGCGTTATACAGAAAGCGAAGATTTCCCAATTTAATTATTAGAAAAGAGTTTCATTACTATTTGTACATCAACCTACATCTTTTCAGTTTTAGTATATCTACCAAAAAATAGAAATTTGCTTTATAGTTCTAACTTGTATCATTGTTGAGATTAATATATCAACAGGGGCAGGTTGCTGTAAAGCTGAAAAAATCTACTCCAAAGTCCGTTTTTTCTGAGGTGCGAGACTCAACTAAAACCCCCTCTTACCCCAAAATGGCGAAAGACCAGGCTAAAACCACTACTTAAGAAAGACTGGCAATCTCAGTTACTTAGCTTTCCCCTAGAGGGGTTGTGTGTGTGTAAGATTTTGTTATTTCCACCCCAAAGCGCAGTGCGTCAAAACGTGGTCTCACTTCGACAGACATCGAGCTGAGACTTTAGGCTTTTCGTCCAAAATAACGAGGTAGGCTAATAGTCTTTTAGTAAAAGTCACTGTATGTCTGTGTAAGCCTAATTGGATACCTAATTGAAGTCCGAGCAAAAAAATTATCAAAATACGGTAACTTTTCTCGGTGAAGACTGGCGATCTGATGCTGTGTCCCTCGGTAACAATACGGAAAAATCCGATCGGATCGTGCGTATACAAAACTACAGACAAGAACAAATAATACAGAGGCTCTCAGGAGCATATTAACTACTATTACTTCCCATGGGAAGCTAAGACACAGTGGGAGTGCCTACACTCTTAGCTACCCAACCTACACGTCGTCACATGAATCTCCCGCCCCCGACATACAAAGCAATAGCAATGTTAAAACGAAGTAAACTGGATATAAACTCTCCAAACAGGCGAAAAACCTACCAGTTTCACCCACTGTCTCTGCCACCTCCCTCCATGCCTGGTTCCTCCGGTTTGTATCCCGGTAAATAGTTCTGGTCGTAAAGAACCGGGTGATTTGCTACCGTAATATCTCGTTTGGAATATGAGGAAATTAACTGCGGTCTGGCTCTCCCAGCTTGCACGCGGTTTGATTGGCTGCGCTTGCACTGGCGGGATTTGCATAAACGGGATTTGATTGGCTGATGCTAAGCATCGAGCCTCAAAAGTTGAACATTGTTCAACTTTTGATGCCGATAGATGCTCGTGATGCTTGCAAAGCCATGCCATGCTCCCCACAATGCAGTTCGGCGAAGATTAAAAATCTTCTACGTCACCCCATTCAAGTGAATGGGCGAAGCGTTGAAAGCATTTTTCGATGCCTGTAGTGTAGACGGGCCGTAATAGTCCACATGCTAATGCTAGTTAGCCTCAGCAGTAACATGCTGTGTCTCTCCTGCTGCAGCAGGTGTTCAGAATGGCATGACTGACGCACAGCTCCATTAAACGTGTTCATTTCTTTCTTTCCACTTGACAGAGCCACGGGTAAACAAGTGCCCTGTTGCCGTAGTTTCCCCAAAGTTCCAGGAGATCTCCTTGCCAACCAGCTCTACGGTTATAGACGGCAGCCGTGAGTGTCCCATGACGCACAGGGAGAGAGACCTTGCATCTAAAATATGTATATGTAAAATCCTTAAGCTGTCCCATTCTGTGCCCTTCTTCCTCCTCTATGTCCTCCCTCATCCTCTCAGAGAGCACCGATGATGACAAGGTGGTGGCGTGGCACTGGGAAGAGGTTAAAGGGCCGCTGAGGGAGGAGAAGGCCATTGCCGACACACCCGTCCTCACCCTCACTGGCCTGGTGCCCGGGAACTACACATTCAAGTACAGATGCTCTATGTTTCAATTGTATTTTTAGATAAATACATTGCAAGCTACTTTCTCAAGCATTAACAAAGAGTCAGGTTTTTTTTTGGAACTGCGCCTCCTTTCTCTATTTATATGGCTATCATCATCAGTATAATATTAGAAATGCTAATTGTTTGCTAATAGAAGATTTCAAATCTATTGTAAGTTCAAATCCGAAATTCAAATACAAAGTTCAAATACGAACTTCCTGCGACATGGTGTATCTCTCATTTTTTAGCTAGCTTTTATTTAAGTCTGAGGTTGAATTGCTTTGATTGGTGCAGAGCAGTTTGTATGTTCTACCCTAATAAATGTCCCATCTCAGTTTGACTGTGACAGACTCAGACGGAGCCAAGAACTGGACACCATCCACCCTCTTGGTCAACAAAGCCAAGGATTACCCGCCTGTGGCCAACGCCGGGCCTAACCAGGTCGGAATAATTTTCTGTCATCTATCATATGATTCAGTTCTTTAATGCACTTAAGCACCATCTTTGGAAATCATATGAATGTGAACTAGGTTGACTTAACATGCAAAATGCTTGTCTTTCCTCTTACTAAATCCAGGTAATCCAATTGCCACGCAACTCCATCACCCTGTACGGCAACGAGAGCACGGACGACCACGACTCACTGTCCTACGAGTGGTCCCTCAGCCCTGAGAGCAAAGACAAAGTTGTGGAGATGCAGGTGAGATACTCAGGGACTGTGCATATCCTTATTTTTCAAATGTTTCACTGGATAAGAGACTTATGGCTAACATGTTTCTTTAGGGTGTGCGGACGCCCATCTTGCAGCTGTCTGCTATGCAGGAGGGAGACTACACCTTCCAGCTGACTGTGACCGACTCCGCTGGACAGCAGGAAACTGCCCAGGTCACCGTCATTGTGCAGCCAGGTACACGTCGTAGTAAAAAAGAACTCTTGATTATAACAACTTAGCTCTTTTGAATAGTGTCTGCACTAAAAAGTTTGGAGGAATACTTTGTTAACAAGCTGCTGAAGGCATTGATTAAATACATTTCATTACAACTGTCACTAATGTCTTACATGTTTTGATAGCCTTGGGTTATTAAGCCTCTCTTATCACTTAAGCTCCACTACAATTAAACTATTACTTCGACATTTAAAATCCACCACATCTTTACTCAATATGCCCTGTGTTACCTTTGTTTGCCCTCACATTTTTCCACAGTTTATATAAAACATACACCTGAAGTGTGAGGTGCATACCGAGCACCAGTATATAATGTAGCTGTGTTTATACTCTGCTTACTTAATGTGTGAAGCTCTTGTCATTACCTAAGCTGCTGTATGACCGATCTGTTTGCTTAACCTGCATGTGTACGTTCAACCTGATACGCACCTGGTGTGAACTGTAGACTGCAAACACACACTTGCAAGACGCTCTGTAGAGTTTGAGCAGAAGCTTTTATGTGAGCACACATCCATCTGCAGGGTCAGTCAAGATCAACCATGTGAGGCATACTATCTGAAAGAAACGGCAGTGTGTTAGTCAGAGTGTGGTATTTCAGAAAATAACTGCTCTTCTTTGATAATGCACTTTAAACCTTTGGCATCGGGTCGTCCTTTCTGTATCTTAGTGGGCGGGGTTTATCGATTGGTACTGTTTTTTATGCTTGGTTGGTGTCCTCTTCTCACTCATTCATTTTTTTGAATAAAGCACATTCACTTAATTTTCCTAACAAGAATTGGTCCAGCTGTCAAACTATTAATTTGTCAGGTCTATCTTCAGCTTTACTATAAGAAAGGCAAACATAATCTTTAAAAAAAAGAGAGAACATTCCTTATATGCAGAATTACATAGTTTTAAAAGGATTTCAATGCAACAATATTGATTACATTTAATGATAGTTGAAGGATGTTGATTTTGTTGTGGGAGAAATGCTTCACATGGCTTTCTTCTATGCTCAGACGACAGCCAGACACTTTCGACAGTCATCATTCCACTTACTCCTGTGTCTCTTTCTTGCTGGTTCTACAAAGGAGATGTGTTTTTAGTTTCCTCACACTCTCAATCCTCCAGAAAACAACAAGCCTCCAGTAGCAGATGCAGGACCGGAGAAAGAGCTGACGCTGCCGGTGGATCGAACCACGCTGGATGGCGGTAAGAGCAGAGACGACCAGAAGATAGCCACCTTCCACTGGAAACAAACCAAGTGAGTCAAACACAGACGCCTCCTCATGTCTGCAGGCTGTTTATATTGTCTGCAGACAACTACCGTAATTTTCGGACTATAAGGCGCACCTGAATATAAGCCGCAGCAGCTAAATTGAATGATGTGTACATATATAAGCCGCACTGGACTATAAGCCGCAGGTGTTTTAATGTTTAATTACCATATGTAAGGGTTCGTGCACAGAGGGGATTGTCGGGAAAGAGATGGCTGTTTGAGGAAGCTCCCATTTATTAACATTTCAACAAACAAGTTGCATATTTGCATAACGTATTCAAGTGTTACCATTTAGTGCAATAGTAGCTACAGAACATGTACTGTGCTGTGTAAACTGTACTGCATCACATAGCGTTTCAGACACACAAACTTTTCAACTTTCAAACTTAAACGGTGCGCTCCCAGCGCACGTACCGGCAGTGATCTACAGCAGCGGTTTTCAACCAGTGGTACGGGGACAAACTGTCTCGCTCTCGTAATGTCTGTCTGTCTTGCTCTCGTTCTGTCTCTCGTACCACTCTCGGTTCCACTTTTACTTTTACGCGCTACCTGTCTCACTCTTTTCCGGCCTCCAGCTTTTCCTGCTGGAGCCCGCCGCTTAAAGGTGGGGGTCCGCGGACCGGCCATAGAGCCCATAGAGTTAAAGGTGGTGGACTGTAACCTGTAAAATCCATAGATTTAGGAGGTCCCCTAGTGGCCATTAGCTGTAAAAATCCATAGATTAGCCGCACCGTTATATAAGCCGCAGCGTCGAAAAATGGGAAAAAAGGCGCGGCTTATAGTCCGAAAATTACGGTAGTTTATTTGTGTTAATGTTTGACTTTGGTGAAGCAGAACTATCCCTTTTAAAATATGGGTTTACTCAGAAAA